AAAAGCAGCCTCTCATAACAATGCTAACTGATACACTGATGCTGATGGGTTCCTAAAACACTTAGCTAGCAGGGGAAGCTTGTACTACAAGGGACTCAACCTCCCCCCAAAAATTCCCTTTTGGCAGGGGCATCTCCCCTCATATTTAGCTGTGTGATCTTGGATAGGACATCTTCCCTCTCTGAATCTAGCTTCATAATTTATAAAATGGGAGGTTAGAACCCTTCCAGTGTTAACTTTCTGATTTAGTTGGGAAATGTGCAGCACAGACAATATTCTCTTCTTCCTTGAAGGAGGCCTATGCTACTTAATTATAGTAGATTGTGGCATTTGCATATATGACATCTGTGGCTTTGACTATTTCCAGAGACCTCAAAGGTCCAAGAGCTGCAGTAATCTGTTATTTTGCAGGGGCATGCTGTGAGCCTGGAATGTAGAGTCAGTCACCTGTTTAATGAGTGAAATTAGCACGCGGGCAGAAGCCTTGTCTCCATGAGGTTTTGCCATGGCATGCTGTAGTCTTAGAGGTCACAACTCTTATGAAGTCCTATAGTAATAGTCACTAAGGTGGGTATTCTTCTGGATCATGAAGATGTCAATAATGTCCCTCTCAAATGTCAAGGGTTGGCCGGGCACAGTGGCTCAAGACTGTAAACCCAGCACTCTGGGAGGCCGAGGCAAGAGGACTGCTTGAGACCAGAAGTCCGAGACTAGCCTGTGCAACATACTGAGATCTTGCCTCTACAAAAATAAATTAAAAAATTAGTAGGGTGTGGTGGCATATGCCTGTTGTCCTAGCTACTACTCAGGAAGCCGAGGCAGAAATGTTGCCTGAGCCCAAGAGGTAGAGGCTGTGGTGAGCCTTGATCATGCCACTGCACTCCCACCTGGGTGGGATGAGAAAAACGAAATGTCAAGGGTTTATTGTAAAGTGGGTAGAAAACAATCATGTACCTGTCCCCACTTCACCCTTGTCATGACCAAGTGTTAACGATGGTGACTCTAGAAACTGCAGTGGTACCACACACATCGCAGGGAGCTCTCATTCCTCTTTTGTTGACTCTATCTCGACCACACCACTTCTCCCACGTGCTGTGATTTGTCTGTCGGCTTTGATCCTCTCTACTCGAGAGTAAGATCCTTGAGAGCAGAAACACCAGCCTGTCTTATTCACCTGCTTATCCCCAGTGCCTAGTAATGTGCCTAACACAGAATAAATGTTCAATCACTGTTTGTGGAGTTACTGTGTGGTTTCCAGAAGAAGGCTCTGTACTTTTTATTTCATACTTATATTTAGTACTTATTATTCCCTTATGATATTGTGCCTATGATTCCAACAAAAAAATGTGGGAACTGAAGTGACCTGTTCAAAGTCACACAGCTGGTGAGCAGTGGAGTCATATGTGTTCATGAGACTCCAAAGTTCATGCGTTCTCATCCTACCATGCTACTATGGACACCTTTCAGGAAGTAGAGCACAAAACCAACCAAATGAATCCATGGATCCAGTACTATTGAGCAGCAGAGGCCCAGCTTCAACTTGGTTCTATTTAGAGAAGTATGGTAAGGGCAAAATGTATAATCCCACCAGGCCTGGGAGGCAAATGGAGCTACACAAAGAGGGGGTAGATTAGAAAGCAGCATCTTTCCAAGTATCACACGGCTTCTGTCCAAGTACCCTGACAGGGTGCATTTCAGTTTCTAGCTTGGTACTAGAACAGGTAGGGCCACAGGGTAAGAGCTGGGTCCTTGCTAAGTTGGGATTGGAAGCCGGAATTGATTCAATTAAACAAGTCACTTGAAAAACCACTTTCTTTTTTGGGTCTCGTGGTTTGGTCAAGAGCTTTAGAGCCTTTCAGCTCTAACTTGGGACCGGCACCATCTGCAGCTTATTAGAAATGCAGAATCTCAAGCCCTACCTTAGACTTTCTAAGTCATAACTGGCACTTTAGCAAGATCCCTGGGTGATTGGCAAGCACATTAAACTCTGAGAAGCACTAGTCTAGAGGATATTCTTGGGTTCTTTCCAGCTCTAATATTTCATGAGTTGGGTTGGGACTCTTCGTGGTAACAAAAGAACTAGCATGCTAGGCCGGGCACAGTGGCTCAAGCCTATAATCCCAGCACTTTGGGAGGCTGAGGTAAGAGGATTGCCTGAGCCCACGGGTTCAAGACCAGCCTGGGCAACATGGTGAGACCTCGTCTCTACAATAAATCAAAAACTAGCTGGGCATGGTAGCGTGCACCTATAGTTCCAGCTACTTGGAAGGCTGAGGTGGAAGGATCGCCAGAGCCCAGCAGGTCATCGTTGGGGTGGCCATGAGCATGCCACTGCACTCCAGCCTGGACAACTGAAGTGAGACTCCAACAAAAAAAGAAAAAGGAACTAGCATGCTCATTAGTTGGTGTCACACGGAGATTCAAGTAACCTGATCATCTCCACTGTGTCGTCTGAAGAATATTGCTGATTCATCAATATTAATATTAAGGGCCTCACTTATTGAGCACAGCCCATGTACCAGGGGCACTGCACACAATATCCTGAATCATGGGAATAGCCCTGCAGAAGAGATACTACTATCCCCAATTTACCAATGTGGAAATGATCTTATCGGTTAGTAAAATGCTCCCAAACCACAAGGTTAAATCAGTGGTAAAGCCAGAACTGACCCAGAGTACTGACAGCCTGTGACTTTTCCTACTCTGTAACATCACCTTTAGTTGTAAAATAGCAATTTAAAGTCTTAAGGGTAGAGCTGCAATGTGAGGACAGAGCAGCAGGTTTTGGACTCATCCTGCAATGAATGAAATCTAAAACATAAATGCAAAGGGACAGATGTGTGCATAGATTTGTTTGCTAAACCCTAGGATACCGGGACCAGAATCTCAAAATTCTGGAAGTCTCACACATTTAGAATGAATATCACACGGAAGGGAACCTTTACAAGACTCATTCATACCAAGATGTTACACCAACTGAAAACACAAATGAGTCTGAGGAAGGCTTAGCCATGTTCAGAGATCCTAGGTGCGTGATTTATTATTAATAGAATGAGGAAACTCTGATCTCCCTAAACTATCCTTCCATGCCAAGGGTAGAGAGAGTACTGAATTAGAGGAACCACAAGTCTGTCGAATTATGGCAAATGATATGGTCTTGATGTTATCTAATGCCTGAGAACAACCTCTCACATACTGACATTGCCATAACATGTGTGAAATTCCATGGAGTCTGTCCTCCCGTGAGGGTCTGTCCTTCATTTGTATGTAGAAAACACTCTCCCTAGAGCACATACAAATGGATGGTATTCTCCAGAAGGCACAGGTTTTTACTTACACTAACAAATGATGGTCCTTCCCAGCAAAATGACTAAACAGAGCACTAATAAATCAGTTTGTCAGCGGCGACTTCCTTACAGGAAACAATATCCCCTGCTCCATTTCTGGCTAGTGCAGATATGACTTACACTGAGTGCCTGCGTCTATGGTTCAGAGACTCTTAGAGCTGGAAGGACCTGCGGGAAGACATGACCCTACCTCCAGGCAAAAGAAATACTGTTATTCCCAATTTGCACATGAGAGAGTTTAGTTCCAGAGCCGCTGAATGATTTGCCCACATCATCAGGAAAGGAATGGGGTAAGGACAGAAGCAGAGTCCTTAGCTCGCTCTAGCCCATGCCTGGGCCTGGGGAAAAAAACTTCCAGGGCACCTCCCCCTGAGCTCAACGGATTCACCTCCCCTTTCCACAAGTTCCTTCCCTCCCTCTTCCAGAAGTTGTATGGCTTCACTTCCCACTGAAAATGCAATTAGCATGCTCTTGGGACAGTATGACACCCCCCTTCATACATGCCTCTTTTATTCTTCATCATCTGCTACTGCACATTGCCTGTGGACACGCACAGGTATCCAGAGATAGTTTCCCTCTCTCATCTCCATCCTGCTAGGCCACCCGGGAAAGCCCACGCTCTCGTAGGCTGCAAGTCCCAGGAAGGTCATCCCACTTTCTTTTTCAAAGCTATCCATCTGAGAAAAGGACAGGACCACCAATTTGCAAGAGGGTTCAGTGGGCAGAGGACTTGACAGGCAGTTGTAATTCAATACCCACAGTTTCTGAAGGACTTACTGGGGCAGTAACCCAAGCAGGAGTATTTCAGGAGAGTCCTGGATTATGAAAAGAGATGAGCACACAGAAGACATATCTTCTCCCATAATTCCTAAGGTGCCTCTCCTTCGCTGCTCAGCCAGATTTTGGAGCTTAGATCTGTGACTAAAGACAGATGGCCACCATCCTGGAACCTCTGCTTCTCCAAGATGTCTCCAGTATCCCAGCCACACTGGCTCATCTCCCCTGGGTTGGGCAAGGTTCGCACCATAAAACAGCTTGTGAGCATTGAAAGAGATTGCCAAAGTTCCAACAAATTCTGTAATTTCCAAATTGAAGAAGAGGTGCCTGAAGTCTGGCTATACAACACAACTGCAATATGCTACCAGGGAAAAAAGTCAGTGCCACTTGTTTTCTTGAGAATATTCTGACCGGGTTACTGGTGTCCCGGAATGTAAGGATTGGCTTCAAAGCTCATCTATGCTCTTAGAGGAAGGAGAAGCCCAAACAGTTTCCTGTCTCTTGCTTAACCACAAGGACCCTCCAAGTCTAGCATCACAAAACATCCACCCTACCACACCTCCCTCAGCCATTGGTTTGAGTCTCAGTGGACCAAATGTTCCAGGTCCTCAGACCCTGTCACTGGACCCCTTGCCCAGAAACAATGTAAAATGAGAAAACAGAAGGAGAGTTTGGAAGCAGAACCTGTCCAGAAGTTTCTGCTAATCCTGCACACCTGTGATGGAAGCAAAGTATGATGTTAACACAAACATCATCTCCGTCCTGCTAGGCCACCCAGGAAAGCCCACGCTCTCGTAGGCTGCAAGTCCCAGGGAGGTCAGTATGAAAGGTCAGAGACAGACACAGGGGGTGGGGGCCAGAAGACAAGAAGGTTACTTACACAGTCTCATCATTCTTGAATTCCAACTCCCCGTACACGTCTTCAAAGTCCTCACCACCACCCTTGGCTGTCCCTTCCATCGTCCTAAAGGGGACAAGTACCGTACCCCGGGCACCTGATGTCCGCAGGACCTTGACCTCCATGACACCAATACTCTCACTGACATGAATAGTGTCACATTCGAAAGTGAAGATGCCCGCATGGTCATCATCCAAGATAGTGACGGTGGCCACACAAGGGGAGGCCAGCACAGCCTGCGGCAAGGGGAGGCTGTTGGACATTGGTGGAGGCATCCCCTCCTCGGGCTGCTGCTCCTCCTCCACACGGACGTTGCTCAGCCTCACAAAGAAGTGTTCGTCCTCCTCGAAAATGTCGTCATCGATGATGCCCACCGAGAACTCCTTCTGAGTCTCCCCCGGTTTCAGGATCACGGTGCCCTCTGTGAATTCGTAGTCGGCCCCTGCATTGGCCGAGCCGTCCTCTGTTTTGTAGTCCACGTACATGGTCTTAGACATGTCTCCACCCTTCCTCACCACTGTTAGAAGCACAGCCCCACAGTTCTCCAGGCACTGGTAGGAGCATGGGTCAAAGAAGACCTTGGAGACAAAGTCCTCTGGCTCACTGGTATGTACCTCACTCATGCTGGAGCCCTTCTTGGCCTGTTCTGCAGCGTGTTTCTTCAATATGTTGCCTGCGCCTGTCATCATGCGGGTGGCCTGGATCCGGTAGAAGGCGCGGCTCTTCTGTTGGTGGGAGAGGGCGTAGTAATTGGCCATCTCTACCAGCTGATCTAAGTCCTTCTCCGGGTGTTTCTGTTTCAGGTCCTTGAAGGATACGGACCATTTCCCTGCGAGATTCATCCACCTCTTTCCCCTCCAGGGGCACCAGGGTCCCGTCGAGGAAGTGAGAGTTCATCATCTTCCCATCCATCTCGATGCCCTTGGGGTGGTCGCCCTCCGTCTCTATGATAATCCCTCGGTGTTTGTCTGTGCGGTACTTTTTGTGCATGTATTTGTAGAAGAGCAGTCGTTTGTCGGCCACCCAGGCCAGGAGGACGCACACAGGAAAGAAGAAGAGAGTGAGGAGGCCTTCCCACACCTGGACCACGCCAGGGGAGAAGACCGCCAGGATCATGTAGAGCCAGATGTAGGCAAAGATGCTCCAGGCAGCTGTGACGAAGAAGACGCGCAGGTGCTTAATCTTGCGAGTCTCCCCATCGGGGATCACGTAGACACAGATGCCGATGATGATGAACATGTTGAAGGCTGCACTGCCCACGATGGTGGAAGGTCCCAGATCACCAGCAATAAAGCCATGGCCACACACCTCAATTAGAGACAGGAGTATCTCAGGAGCAGAGGACCCCAGGGCCATGAGGGTCAGGTTGGAGACGGTTTCATTCCAGACTCGAATGGTGGTTGTGCTGGTCTCTCCATTGGGCTTTTTGATCGTCACCTCCCTCTCTTGAGAGGTGATGACTTCAATGGATGCCATGAAGCGGTCAGCGATGATGGACACCCCAAGGAACATGTATATCAGGGCCACAAAATAGACAATAACCCTTGCAATCTTGTCCCCCAGGGAAGGGTTCTCTGGGTACCAGATGGGTAGGATGACACCCTCCTTACAGTCCGATGACCCTGAACAGGACTCATTGTTCTGCCCTGTGCTTGGCAAATCCCCTGAGCCACCAGCCTCTGCCCAAAGACCATTCAGGAAGAGCACGAAGGTAACCAGCCCAAAATGGAGAAAGGCAGAGGTGAGAGGCTGCAACCTTAACCACGCCATACACGAGACTTAGCCGCCGGCTTCTACCGCAGCACAAGTGGTCCTCCTGATGAGCCAAAGACCTGGAACAGACCAGAGAGCAGGAAAAGGCATGAGGAAAGGGGAGCAACAAATGACAGGTTCCCACCAGCACACACGGATGCTTCACCTCGAGTGACATATTGCACTGACATATGGGGCCGTCTCTCACTCGGAAAAATAGATGTCAACAGGAAGCACAAATAGCTGCTATGTCCTCAGAACCATGTGGTGGACACTGTCGAAGAATGGCTTGAAACGGCTGGGAATGCTGGGACCGGAAGCACGGGGACCCCTTCTAGCCCTGCCTCCCGACCCCTTTGTGACTCATGAGAGTTCCCAGGAAACAACTTAAAGTAGGTGGCACAAGACCTGAGTCTTCACCCCACTCACACAGCTTCTAGTGTGCTCTGCTTCCTCACCCCATTGTCCTCATCCTCAAGAATCTTGTGTAACATAGGTTTGTGAGAGCACATCCTGAGTTGAATTTTCATGAGCTGATCCCCCAGATTAGAACCCCTTGCTCTGTGCAGCATCGAGTCCACCTGGGAATAAACTCCTTCCCCAAATGTAAAACTTCCGGAGGCAAGCTATCATTCGGTGATTGCCTGGGAAATCAAGCACTGATTCCTAGCAAAGGCTGCCTGCACTATAGCTAAATTGGGGACCTGTAAGATGTGCCCAAGATCAAGTCCACAGCAACCCCCAGTCCTCCAGTAAAACATGCAGACGGACAGGTTAGGAAGCCGACTCTGGGAAGATAAGGGCCCACCAGTCATTCAAATTCTAAACCCAAACATGGAAAGGGCCAAGTGGTGGAAATCATTGTTACTGAGACAGGTAAGTTTAAAAAAAAAAAACTGGAGAGAAGATTTTGGGGTCAAATGCAGCCTCATCTCCTGGCCTCGAACCACTAAAAGGTGAGCTTGAACTCAGAGGAATGGGAAGAAATGCAGCTAAACGATGCTCACCTTTCCAAAGTCATGGCCTCATTTGGATGGAATGAGAATGAAAATAGCCACGCAATAACCAAAAATAAAAACTCCTCTTTGCTGCAACCATGTGGGCACTTTTGGTGACAGAGGGACACTGATTTTCCTTTGCACAGCACCTTCAAAGGGTTCCAAGTCCTCATCCTCCACACCTGTTCCTCCTCCTTCTCTTTCCTGTCTCAGACAACAGCATCTCCATTCGCCCAGGTAGTCATGCTGGAAACCAGGTGTTGGTCTGCAAGCCTTTCTTTCTTTTCTGTCCCTCACCTATTGCAGCACTAAGTCCTGTCAATTCTCCCTCTGTCTTTATCACCATCTTCACAACCCAGGCCACTCCTACTCCTCACCTGAACGAACCTCCCACAGGAGCCTTCTCACTGAGCTCATCATGCCATGCCAATTCCTGTCAGCTGTCCCTCACACTTTCTCATACAGTCACGGTCTTCTTCAACACAACACCCAAATGTAAGCAGGCCACATCCCTATTTGCAGTCCTTTAGCAGTTTTTTTGCTCTTGATATAAACACCATATTTCTTACCATGACCTCAAAGCCTTGCACAAACTAACTCCTTCCTTCTCTTTCCCCTTCATCCCTTGCCATTCTCGCATTTATTATATTTCAACAATGGCCTTCATTTCTACTCCTGGATTATACCAAGCTATTGTCTGTCTCAGGACCTCTGAACACTCCATTATTCATTCTTGAAATGAGTGTGTCTTCACATCCCCACTTTTTTTTTGAGACAAGATCTCACTCTGTCACCCAGGCTGGTGTGCAGTGGCATGATCCTGGCTCAAGGCAGCCTTGGCCTCCTGGGCTCAGGCGATCCTTCCACAGCCTCCAGAGTAGCTGGGACTACAGGGGCATCACCACACCTGGCTAATTTTTGTATTTTTTGTAGAGACAAGGTCTCACTATGTTGTCCAGGCTGGTCTCAAACTCTTGGGCTTAAGCGATCCTCTCACCTCAGCTTCCCAAAGTGCTGGGATTATCGGCATGAGCTACCATGCCTGGCCACCCCTATTCTTTTTTTTTTTTTTTTTTT